ATATAAAGAGTAATCCTCCGTTAAATTTCGTCTTGTCTCGTAACATCGCAGTCAGGCATTGCCTTCCATCTTTTCGGTCAAGGACTTGGCGCGAGGTTTCTAGAAAGTTACCCATCCAGGAATCCGTGGTGTCGCGAGTTGCTAATCTTCAAGCGTAGTTAAGCCATTCGGCTGACGACGCCGGTTGCTAGAGGAGGTTGTCGTGAAAAGATTATTTAAAGTTAAATGTAGATTACGTTGTGCAGCATTTATTTGGTTGCTAAATTATTGTTCAGTTATATGTAGTAGCTATCAAATCTAAAAGCACTTTTAAATAATTGAAAAAATATATACCTACATTAATCTATCTTAATAATTGAAGCTAAGAGAATTCGTGGTAATAACTTTTATCTAAAGAATAGAATTCTGTTGTTGAATAACGTGATTGTCCCTTTCTTCAGTGAGTAATGTGTCACAATATAAAACTTCCTTATTATATTGTTTGAGAGTGAATAATATAACATGTTGCATAAAATTCTTAAAATGAAATTTAAATGATGATGTATCTATCTCCTGACAACTAAACAATCTTTTTAAACTATAGTAATGATTAAGCAACAACTTCATGGCTTGTCTTATATCTGTATAGCTTATTCACACCCAGGTTCAAATATACAGTTTGGAATAACGTCCTTACGCCCATGTCATTCTGCAATCTGGACACCAAAGTAAAATATCTGTTAATTTTTTAAGTGAGAATAATTTAAAAATATTTTATCATTCCTCTCCTAAAATTTTTCGTTTTTAAGGATACAAATCTAAAGCAGATGTGAAGCTTAAATTATTAGGCTATTTGAATCGACGTAAACAAAAATGTTCGATGTCTCATTTTGCCGGTTTTCAGTTAAGTGGGAAACTGTTCTTAGATTTTTTGGAGAAAATAACGGTCAAAATCTCTCGTCTTCAACAGAAAACTGTTTCTATTTCGCCCCAATGAAGATGTGTTTGGAATGTTGTCATACGTGCTAGTTGCGAACTGTTGCCTTCAACTGTTTATTGTACCGGAGCGTGAGAAGTAAGGTCATCGTTCAAGAAACGTTGCGCGAGTAATACGTATAGTGTGCAATTGTGCCGCAGCTACCGAGAGCGCATGCGCGAGCTGTCGGCCGTGTTCCGCGAGAGGCCGCGCCCGCCGCTGGAGACGGCCGTCTTCTGGGTGGAGCACGTGCTGCGCCACCGCGGCGCCCCGCGCATGCGCGCGCCCACCGCCGACATCCCGTGGTACGAGCTGATGCTGCTAGATGTCGCCGCCTTCGTGCTGCTGGTCGTCGCAGCGCTCGTTGCGGTGACAGTCGTCTGCGCTAGGGGCGTCAGGAGGAAAATCGGTGGCGGCAAGAAGAAGACGGAGTGAGCGGTGGGAGCAGCGAATGTAAGTTGGTTTCCTCGTTGCTTCACAGAAATTAATTTGTTCGCGCAGTTGATAAAGGATGAAAGGCGATCAATAAGATGTGAGTAAATGTATTCAATTATTTCTTGTGGTCCACTCTACTTTCGTTGGACGAGGACATCTCAAAAGGAAGCGTCGAAGCCAATATCAAGTTAGCCAACTGCAAACGAATGAATGGAGGAAGGAGAGTCCAATGAGCTCAAGAACACAACGACCACAGCACCATCAGTAATGTTGCCAGTACTAGCTGTCAAAGCAGGCCTTTCTTATAAAAATCGCTCTATATAAGCGCGGAGACGGCACGCCAAATGGACCGCCCCCTTCAGCAGCACTGCTAGGCTACTGTCAGACGTCAGTAACCAAATAGTCGCATTGAAGCACTGAACTTTGAATTATTTTACGTTCTTGCGTTTCATCAATATTTACCAATATTGCAAATGCACTTGCAACGATTCTTGAAAAGAATCTAAAAATGTTGCGTCAATTTGTTGATACTTTTCAAGATATTAATACAACAGACATGTCGTTGATTTCAGTATTATTAGAATATGAGAATGCAGTTTTCTCAATTTATAATTTACTGTAAAATTAACATGTATTCATTTTAAGGAGAATCCACCAAAAAACTGAGGCATATACCAAAACATCGGTATATTTTATTAAATCAATGTCACATACCTGATTTATGCTTTCAATAATCGGTTTGCTTTGCAGATAAATCAAAGTTTTAGAATAGGCAGAAATACCTCGCTTCGGGTAGCTCACGTTCGGGTAGGCTGCCAGCATAAAGAACGAATAATTAAGAAACAGCGGTTCAATAAGAAATAACGGTTCACTAAGAATGAACGGGCCACTACGCATGAACGGGTCACTACGCATGAACGGGTCACTACGCATGAACGAGTAACTAAGAATGAAAGGAATTCCCGACAAATTTAAATCCTCCTACAATTCTCACACTTCCCATGTGTCATATTGGCTCACACAAGGAGCGAGGCAAATAATGAATAAAACGACTAAAGTAGTTGAAGATCGATATCTAGTGGTGAAGACACAAGTCAAACAATAGTATGTAGTAGTGGTGAGTACCAAATTTAAAAATACCAAAACCTTCGGTCCAGGTCTTAAATGTAAATTAGACAACAATAAAAATTTATTTTAAAAAAATTGCTTTCCCCAAATCGGCACAAATATTTTCTTTTAATTCTGATTCTTGCGTAACGACGTTCTAAGCCTTGAGTATACCTTGTACATACTGGTAAGTACCTCTAACATCAAGTCGTAAGTCATTGTCTTGTATATCTATCAGCCAGTGTCTCAGAACCGTTAGTATCCGGGGTTCCCAGGTGGTCAGCCATTCAGGAACCAGCGGTGTCTCGAGCAGCTTAACTTCGTGACTTCACCTTTAAGAGATTCGGCTATTGGCGCAGGCGCAATTTTAAATGAAACGGGATTCAAGATTTCAATCATTTTGGAATCAGGAGTAAAAACTTCACTAACTTGTTTAATATAAGAAATGTTATCTTGTTCTTAATATTTAATGTTACATGTTATATACTTGTATATGAGCATTTACCAAATTAAACAAACTAAGAAGTATTTTTATTTTATTTTAGGGAACCCATCAAATACATACATCAAGAGAACTCAAGTTCTTCTAAACACTTCATGGAGCATATTACATCAATGGTGCAACAATACTAGCAAAAAGAAGTTACAAGAAAATGGGTTAAAAGATTTAACACCTACCTACATTCAAAGGAAATAAGTTTTAAGATCACACGAAACTTTTTGGTCAAATAATAGTACATTTTTATCAGAAGCTGAAACGTGTAATGAGTGCCTGAAGAAGCAAATGAGTGAGTGAACGACATTAATGTGAAATTATGGTGCATTAAAATACATAGGAATTAACTTTGTCAAAAAATAAATTCAATAAAGACAAAATCTATTTTGCTTTGAGGCAAAAAATAACAAAAAAGTGTATCCTCCGAAAATAGTATTAACCCAATTCCGAGATTAAAATTTAATAAATAATCATATACATTTTGCAAAAATATTATATCTAAGATTTGAAGCCTGCGAAAGTTTGCACAAATATGAATCGAAAAAATTGATTTTCAATGTGGACAATTTATCAATTGCATTAATTTTAATATTTTAAAATATTTGCTTATATTTATTATATAGAATTTCATTTTTTACTGTTATCGCTATTTTGCATATTTATTATATAATCACCATTGCTATTTTCACGATTTAAATACGTTATCTAAAGAAAAACATTTCTACTGCTCACTTCTTCAAACTTTTTTTTACAATCAATCAATTCTAGATTCGGAAATAAACAACCGACTCACTGTAAGACTGACATGATAGAAATTTAGTTCTCTTTCTAAATATAACGTTTGAAAAATCCCCATAATTTGTGATATACCTCAACTGGCACACAAAATCGCATCTGAAGAATATTTTTGATATCCCTCGTTGGTTCTCGAAATGCGTTCATAAGTAGTACAAAATTGTGTAAAATAAACTGTTTGTAATCAAATTGCATGCCAAATTGTGCAAGGTTCAGAATTTGCTACCTGTGTACCTGTTTTAAAGAAGACCTTACCCGACAAAAATGTCTGTGCAGAAGTACGTGGAAACGATATACGTCCCGTCAAAAGCTCTCCAACAAACATTAAAGAGAGGATACTTTTTAGATTTTTAAATTGATATTGTATATTATTATTAAAAACAATAAAGAGGGTACATGACTGAAAATTTCCTCTTGTCTTCAAGCATATAATGGCTAAATTGCTTCAGCATTAAGTATATTAATAGTAATTAAGTAAAGGGCTTTTAAAAACAGGTGCTTGTATTTAACCCCCCTGAAAGTTGCAACGAGCCTCACGGCCGCAAGTTAAAGATTAACCCCTTTCACTAGGCTTCAAAGGATTTTTATAGGATGATTCACCAAACGTTAAGACTTGGCTTTTTATTTATTAAGATATCTGAATGTTGTGCACTTTTATAGATCTGTATAGAATAGAATTTCGTTCAGAATAGTAACTCCACTACCATAAGAAAGCAATGCGAGAAACACGCACAACGTTTTCAGAATCAGGGACCTAAAATACAAGTTAATTCCGAAGAAAAAATCACTACCTTACAATGTCTTCTGTCTACTTCATACGGTAATTATGAATAGGAGAGAAAATAAAAACTGTTTAAAATGTAATCATATTCATAACACAAGATTTCAGAGAATCCGTCTAGCGTGCCTGCACTGTAGGAAGCTGTAGAGAGTCAAACTTTTACCTTAAAAAATTGAAGAAATGCAATTAGAACATCATATGGCTCTTCGTCTCATCGGGACTTGGGTCTTTCGTGGGATACAGTATGTTTCCGATGAGGCACGACTCGCGGTTCTTAATAGTGAAGGGGCACGGTACCCACCTGTTATGTGATATTCATTGTCACCAACTTGTCACCTGCGTTTACTTTCAAAGCTAGTAGAAAATAAACATTTCTGGATAACTTCATTATCAACTTTCGTCATGTTCATCCCTGAGAACTGGCAATTAACATGTTTCGACCAAATCATATGGATGTAATCTACATTGTATTGCATATAACGAATGTAACATCTCCATCTCTCCTACATGATAAGGCTCATCAGAAGATAAGAGAAATCATGTATACAAACATAAAAATATAGTACAAAGATACGAATGTAAAGTGCTTCTGTTAAGAACTGATAAGAACATCCATAACCTGCAGAAAAGTTGCAATACTTTAGTTCTCCGTTTGCAGAGCCAACAATCAGTGTGGTACTACATTGTAATATATTGACGACACATTTAAACACAGGCATCTGCACATTTATGTAAGTTGTTTGAATTTTAATATATGTGGTTTCTAGTAATTAAAACTATTTTAGTGTGAAAAAATCACTACCTGCGCACATCGGCAAGTTTGAAAGAAGTAAATTAGCTCTCTAGACGTTGTACTTTACATATTGATTTATATCCTAATTAAATATTTAGGGTTGGTTGGTTGGTTGGGTCTTAGTAATTCCATCAACTACTGAGGTCTACTAGCTAGACTTAATTCGAACTGACAAGCTAGTGTCGAAAATCTTTCCACTGTCGGAACTGGATCCTAGAACCTCCCACTGAAGTAATATCAGTTGATGCAGTAAGCCACCTCTCCTGGTCAAAATATTTAGTTTGAGGGTAATGGATGTTAATGATTTGTTAAGCAGAAAACATGTAAAACGTATTGTCAAACAGACACACCACTACAGTTCATTTCTATACCCGCCTCAAAGCAAGGCAAAAATATTTTCAAGATTATATAACCTTGTTATACTATATTGTATTGACATTGTGCATGTGTGTGAGTGAAACTTTTAGTAAGAGCAAGTAGAAATCGTACAAATACCAAAAATATTACAGAGGGTTCTCAAAATGTGAACCTACAAGTATATAATAAAAAATACGTTTAAAGCATGTATGCATATGTTCACTTATTTTAAAGTTTATTTGCTTGTCTGCTTATTTTTCTAATTTACTGACAATTGTGGAAAGCTCAGGTGTAGGTGAAGAGAAAACCTTTAACAATACATATCAAATGGTGCGTATAATCTACTAAAACAGCTGCTTTGAAAAACCCACGAAAACCACCCGTTACCATTAATTGAAATTATAAAGATTTACATATACACACGCAGTGGTTAATTTCCAAATATATGGGTTTGGAACGCACCGCAAATTAATTCAAATTTTAATATAAATAGTTATATATTCATCTCATAATGTAATAATTGTTCATAAATATTAATATTAATAATAAAAATACGACATAACAATGAGAGTCTTCCTGTATGAAAATTAAAATTGAATAAGTTCTCAATTTTCTAATTCATTTATTTATTAATTCTTAATATCAATATCATTTCTTCGTTCTTATTACGTCTTTATTTCAATTTAATTTGGGCTACCTCAGGATTTAATCGCTAAGTGTCACTTATAATTTGCTGAATATACTTATTATTTACTGAATCCCACTCATACACGAATACATATATGTATCTATATATGTATCGTATATGTATACTTATATACGCATACAAACACACATATACATTCTTATACATGAATGCACACTTACAAAAAATCGGTAACATACTTACACGCATCTACAATTGTAAACATACATATGCACATATGTTCAAGATAATCTTGACCCACATCCACATGCATAAACACACATACTAACACACACCTACATTCAGAGTCGTACATTTTTTTAAATGTAAAATCACAATATGCATTTTTTAATACAGATCTTTATTCTCAAAAAAATAGTTATTTCCATCACTGGTTCCGCTCATATACTTCTCTCGATGGTCGCTTATCTGTCAAAGTACTTTTATCTTAGATATATCTACTTGTATGTTAATTCAAATCGTTCTCAATTATAATGACAGAGTTTGCTTCTATCGCGTAACTCTACCAGCAGAAGCAGACAAACGCGAAACTAAACAGGTAGCGTAAACAGATTGGGGCATCATGAGAATTTAGTGATAGCAATACTATCTGTATGTGCTGACTCAGTGCTTCGGTCTGAAGGGTCTTGAGTTCGAGTCTCGTCGTGGACATGGTGTTTGACCCTTGTTTTCATGTATGTGTATTGTCCCAGAAGCCCTGGTGAGCTTGCTGACGACAGAACCGAAGAGCTCGCAAGTGTGTCTAGTGTAAAAAAAGGTTAATAAGTGTCCCCATGAGGGACATAGTGGGTACCCGATGCAGATAGTCGAAATACACCTCCCCGAAGCTGGAAAAATCTGTAGGTAGAAAAAAATTAAAAAGTAGTTATGCTTGAAATGCTTTCGAAATTATTATTGATTCCAGAATATTTTATATTAATCGCGCAAACTGACGTCGCGAGTCTTGTCACAGTTTTCGACTCGACAAGCGCACCAAAACGTGAAATGTCTAACTCGGAAGAAAGGCCTTTTGCAATAAAGTGCGTAGAAAAATTATGTGCCGATCTGACTCAAGAATAAGATAAGATATATTTATTTCAACTGCCAATGGGCATAACCCGGAGGCTGATAAGTCTATAAATAACTTAATATAGCTAGCATGCAAATTATATAATAATAATAATAATAATGGTACAATAATAATCATAGAAACAATAAAAACAGCTAATAAAACAACAACAACAACAACAACAACAATAATAATAATAATAATAATAATAATAATAATAATAATAATAATAATAATAATGAATATATCGATCTAAATAAAACATCGATGATATAATATCGATTTTTTGCTCGAAATTATCGATATTTTAAAAACATGGATGTTTTTTGCCCACCCTACGGACCCTCAGCCTTAGCGACCTCAGCTATCTAACCCGGCTGCGAATTGTCCTTCTAAAAGCCAATAAACAAAGTGTTAACCTTGCGCGAGAGAATTCTCATTAGTCATTCCGGCTACGCGCCTAGAGATGACCTTTATATTTCAATGCCACGATGAGCAGACTACTCGCAACCGCCAGAAGACCAGCAGTCTCTGTGGGCTGCTGTTAGCAGCGGAGGATAGATCGCGGTCTCCATTCAGACAGGTGGGTGAGTGTAATAACACTGCGCGAATGTTCAGTTCTGCACGGGGGGTTGTTTTTCTGAATTGTCGAGTTTCTGAAGGCCAGACGGGCTTTCTCTGCGGGCTGCTGTTAGCAGCGGAGAATAGATCTCGGTCCCCATTCAGACAGGTGGGTGAGTGTAGAACACATTGCGCGAGTGTTCAGTACTACAGACGGCTTTTGTTTTTCTAAATCATCGAGTTGTACACCTGCAGAACCTCGTAACTGGCTACCAAGAGTTCACAATATTTCAAAGTTCTTTTTAAACATAAAATTCTCAGAGAACAAAGCCGTCACTTTGTCACTTTTAGTCAGTGTCACTATCGTAGTGAAGTCGTCACTTTTAATCGATTTAGTTTAGTCAAATGTAGATCCGTCACGTTATATTTGAAATATAGGAGCAATTTTTTCATGTAAATGTGATGAATAGAAATCGGATTCTTGTATATTGACTTTTGTCTACGTACTCGAACAGTTCTCAAAATTGTAATATTGAGGCATCGTTGCAATGACAACACAAATCAAAATTTTTCGCTACCTATTTTTATATATTTTGTACTATACGACAATACAATACAGTTTATTTTATATTTGCAGGATTCAAGGTACGAGTAGGTTTTTATTGTTAAAATTCACCTTCATCTAAAGAATTCACAATATTTCTAAGTGATGCCGTGCATTATTCAGACCTTTAACTCAGCATCCTGAGTCGGCAAGTTCAAGTAGCACATCTAGTCGGTTGAGGTGAGTGTTCTTGACACATTACTTCACATCATACCCCAAAGGATTCGCAACCTTGCGTAAAGTTGGAGAGAAGTTTGTGATAATTACTACTGCTCACAGTTCGTCGTCCACTGACTGGAAAGACCGATGAGGTTGGTTCGTGTCCCGACTGCACTGTGCTTCACCACGATTTCAAATTGCACACTGAGAAAGGGTTTTTTTTTATTTATTTAGGTCGCTTTGGTTAACTTCGCTTCGTAAGAACAGAAGCATTGTAATCGTGTGCCGGAACACGGGGAACTTTCGACAGAAAACCCCATATTGTGGAAATAGCAAAAAAGTGAGTAAATCTTGATCCTATATATAGTAAATTACTTTCTCTAACACGTTTTGGAGTCAAAAAACATGTGCTACGGGTCCCTGATACCGAAAAATCGGGCGGCAAAACATATTTCGACTGTCTAAGGACAATGCTAGCGCCTAAACCTAAGTTCAGTTTTCTCCACAAATTAATATTCACCGATCGATTTAAGGGAACTCGATGTCGTTTAAAATAGATCTTTTGATTTCGGAACGTGCTTTACATGAAGCTTGAATTACATTTTCAAAAGTTTCTCAAAATTGGATTCACATTCTTGGATTAAACTTTGTCCTCGAATAGAGCATATGATGTTTAAAATATCGGTGTAGATCTCATTCTCGTTAAAATTTCTGATTTTTCGAAAACTGCCAAAGTTCAATTTTTTCGACGTCTTCCTTTGACAACAATATTGAATATAGAGATTGTTTTCTTTAATAAAATCCGTTTTTTAAAGTCAGATTTTGAAATGACGTCAAATGTGAAAAATTACTTTCGAAAAAATGTTGAGTGTAATATAAAGAATTTTGAAACAATTATTTTTTTCAAAAACGACCCCATTTTTCACTATTGTTTTTTTTTCTTATGTAGCTCAAAACGATAAAAAGTGCTTGTCGCATTTCTGACGAACTATCTGCATTTTCGAAAATAGGAAAACGTTAACATTGCAAAACTACAAATTTGAAGATAGAGTTTTTTGTCTTAATTTAAATATGTTAAATTTATGTTTGTAATTATGTTCAAAGACTAAAACCCTTGTAATCCGTTATCTGTCGAATTGGAAAGTAAATTATCTTAAAAAATCAACAAAAACAAGCTAAGACCCAGCAAGGTCATTTGAAATAGATCTTTTGATTTTGGGGCGTGCTTTAGATGAAGCTTGAATTACATTTTCAAAAGTTTCTCAAAAATGGCTTCACATTCTTGGACTAAATCGTAACTTGAATTAAAGTTCAACGTTTCAACGTTTTCCTACTACTACAATATTCAAGATAGAGATTGTTTTCTTTAATAAAATCTGTTCTTTAAAGTCAGATCTTGAAATGACGTCAATTTTTCAATGTTGTTTTTATTTCTTAATTGTAATTATTTTTATCTTACAGATCAAATATGCAGCAGCGTTCAATTAAAACATGCATATTATTAATATGCTTCATACACTCGGCCACTGCGGGCAATATTCTTGCCGTTCTCCCTGTGGCGTCGCCGAGTCATCACATATGGACCAGTCCTCTAGTGCGCACTTTGGCAGAGAGGGGACACAACGTGACAGTGATTAGTGCGGATGCACAGAAAACACCAGTGCCCAACCTTACCGATATAGTTGTCACGGGAATATACGAAATTTTACACCAAGAATTCGATCTTGAAAACATGTCAGACACACCTCAACTTTTGTCACTAGACATGGTGTATGAGTACATGTACCAAGTGTGTGTCATTATGCTGAAAAACGACGCATGGAAACAACTGATGGCGTACCCTCCGGATACGAAATTCGATCTGGTTATCACTGAATCCAGCGGTAGTGAATGTCTTATTGGCGGCGTACGGAGATTTGGAGACCCACCGATAGTTTCTCTAAACGGTTTCAGTGTCCCTGACTGGGTGTTTGAGACGAGTGGAACGCCAAACACGCTTTCTCACATTCCGAATTTCGCGTATTCGGCTTCGGATCGTATGACGTTTTGGCAGCGGGTAACAAATATGGTTTTTTACGCTTACTCAAACTACATCTACCGCTATAGGTACATTCCAGCAATGGATAAGGCAGCTCGAGAATATTACGGGCCAGACGTTCCGCTTTATTCGGAAATGAAACACAAAATCGCCGTCAGTATGGCCAACTATCACCCGGTGTTGGATTACCCCTACGCAATTACGCCCAATTTGATTCCTGTCGCTGCCATGCAGATTAAAGATCCAAAGCCATTACCACAGGTGAGCATTAACATTTCTATTGATTAAGCCTGCGCTAAATATATCTCTTGTTGATTGATTTAGTGATTCCAAGCGCGTCAACTCATAAAGTCGCTATTCCCGTAAGCGTGGTGCATTTTTTCCCTCGAGAGGTGGCGGTGATTTTCCCCCGTTGTATGGTGAGATATGACGCCAACCTACCTGTAGGACTAGCGAGGTTTTCCCCAACCAGGAATCTCCCACTTCCACCAGTGAGGTAATATACCAGCCGGAACCGTTCTCCCGACATGTGAGGTATGTTAATTTAAGTATGTGTAAGTAAGGGGTGAGGATAGGACGTGGAAGAGGAACGAAAGATCGCGCGCGGTCCGTGTCCCGTTTGTTAGGGTACTGCTCCTGCATTCGCCTGGGTTGATCTTAATCATCACAGCCGGGAATGCTCTAAGCTCTCCACCGGCCTCGGCCCATGTGTGGAGTGTAGTGCATGGCTAGTGTAAGGAGAGAGGGTAGACGAGGAAGCAGGGGAAGGAAAGATATTTGGCGCGCGGTCCGTGTCCTGTTCGTTTAGGGAACTGCCTCCGGTATTCACAGTGTGTTGATCGAAGAAATCACGGAAGACAACCGACCAGAGCAGACGGCCGCTAGAATTCCCCCTCCAGACAACGGCTGAATTCGACCTAGCTGACTAGCTATTGTCGAAAATCCTGCCACCGTTGGGACTAGAGCCTACGACCTCCAGGTCAGAGGCACTGCCGTGACATCCGTTGGTGCCCTGAGCCACCTCTCCCGGTCAATAAGTGTTGATGTACAAGGTTCCGTTCAGGATACATGACAGTCTACCCCTTTCGGATCTGCAATCCAAGGTTTTTTATTTTTTCTCGAGTACACCTAGTTTGTCAACATCTTGACGTAGTGAAATAAGAAATAAATTTCAATAACAAAAGAAAAATAATATATTAAAAGATTATGTACAAGTTACAATGAATTGCTAAATATTAAACACTCCGGCAACCTTTTCCTTTCAGAACACTGCTTTTACCGCAGAAAAATACAAGCCACGCGTGATGGCGCGCTGTCGGACCTCCGTCCGTGACAATTACCGTCACTATGGCCTCACGCCAAAAGTTAAACCGGTCGTGCGACCGTGTGCCTCCAGCACGGCGAGACGTCTGGCCATACTCTGTCCGGACATCTCGCCCACACTCCTACATCTCCTTCGTACACACGACGTACAACTTCCGATGCAAACTGAAAGAGGAACAGCGGCGCAGAATGGCGCCGCGTTAAATTAAGTTGAGGCTGACACCCCCCCCCACACTGTTCATAGATAGCTCGCTGGGCCAGGCAGCTTGGTTTAACGTCCCCCACCACAGGATTCTCAGGTTTGGCACCCATAAGCGAGGCTCGCTGGGCTAGCATCCTCAGGAGTTTACAGCCTACGGTATTTTTGGCTCTGCGCTCTACTGGTCCCCGCCAGAGCGCAAACTCCCGAAGTTAGGTCTCAACCCCTTCCTCGCCCGCAGCGTACTTTGCGCAGAACCTAACGGTTCTGGCCCTCGTGTTAACGACGCCACACATCCTTCACACTCCTATTTCTCAACGAACGCAGCCCTTGATGCACGCGGATTTTTCCCAAGCTCGCCCTCTCCGGGAGAAAATCCCTCGTTTAACTCGGCCGATGGAATTTGTTGGGTATCACCTCGTACGATAAGCAGATCACCGGCTGCGTTTAGCTCAGAGTCAGTAACAGTGTTGCCAGATACTTCGTACAAACATCCGCCCTTAGACGGCTGTAAATCCGCCTAATAAGAAAAATTTAACTTTCCAAGCGGGAAATTTGAATTTGCATTAAAAAGAACACGCATTTGGATTTTGGATTTACGAGACTTTGGAGACGACAAGATTTTGGAGGTAGTAACCGTACAAAATGCTTTTTTTGTTGTTGTTTTTTTGGGGGGGAACATTTAATTAATAACTTACGTAGAAGCTTACTTTTTGTAATAATAAGTTATATCTTAATACTTAAAAAATAATTATGGCTATTTTTATAACTACAGCAGATTGGAGAAGTACTTTGGGGGATAAAATAATTATTTTCAAATGACTCTAGTTTATTTATCACATTGAAATGGTATTTGAATGATTGTAGCTAAAATTAAACAAGATTCATTGTTAGTGCCCACTTCCTCACAAGTTGTGTTAGTATCCTCACAACTTTCACAAGATTTTCGTTTCTAGCCTCTTCCAAGTCCTGTGTTTCTGGTTCCGATTCTGTTCGCAAATACACCTGCTTGGTAAAACGCACAATAATGTGTTTTGTTCGTTTGAAAAACGGGCAACAATGATGCAACCAGTACAATAATATGCTGGAAGTGATACCGTACTTACAAAAGATAACTAATTTTAAATGATGTGTTCTAAAATTAACTGTAAGTACTGCCAATGTGATATTATATACTCATGTTGTGCACCACAAACATACCATGACTTTTATAACACACCTTATACTAGAGGTCTAAAAACCAACATTGCTAACTTCTCGAAGTAAATTTGAACAAATTAACAAAGGATAAGTGAAAAATCATGTATCATGTAAGAAAAAATTCAAACTCATGGTCAAAGTCGTTATGTTTTTGGTTGTTTTTTTTTATGAAAGTTTCGTCGGAATTTGAATATCCACTCAAAACCGCACATGTTTTGTTGGATATCAGCACATTGGGCGCTGTTCCGCGAATCCAATTTTTGTTCCGCGAGGGAGAACCGTTTTCCAGCCCAAAAAGCGGAATTCCGCCCAATTTGGCAACCCTGGTCAGCAATACCGCTGACTCTGCAGACACTGCACATTTTAACCGGAAAATCCTTCAGTCCAAGTCCCGATGGTGACGGACTTTCGATATTAGCTACACAGCTAGGTCGAATTCAGCCGCAGACTGGTGAAGGAGAATTCCGGCGGCCGGCTGCTCTGATCGGTAGTTTTCTGTGGTTTCCCCGATCAACACCAGGTGAATGCGGTAGCAGTTCCCTAACAAACGGGCCACGGACCGCGCTTTTTTTTTAATCCTCTAGCTTTTGCTCTATCCTTGCCCCTAACACACACTTAAATGCACCACATGTCAGGAGACCAGCGCCAGAAGCTTAGATCTTGTCCTAACTGGTGCGGCGGTGCCCCGTTGAAGGGGAATTCGTTAGAAAACCGACGTATAGATCGGCGCCGAATCTCACCATCCCCCGGCGAGGAACATCGCCGCATTAAAACATGCACAACGGTCCTAATGACCATAGTAGTTGACGAGCAAGGGAACGTCAATAAATCAATATTAACTTATCCCGTGAGACTTCACAGTTTTACCCGTACGAGATAGCGCGTCACGTGCTTTACATCTTTACAGTTTTAACAAAGGGTATTCGACTCAGGTGACCACAGATGCTAATGTTTACGTCTGAAGGTAAAACGGTTTCGGTAAAACGATTACGAGACCACCAACTTATTGGGGGAAAATATGAATGCGAAGTATTTTAAAATACTCGTGGTCTGCGTTGGCAAAAATGCAGTTGAATAAAACTACGGAAAACTCTGAAAAGTAGAACGCGCTCTGCTCAAATTAAAATTAAAATACTATCATATAACGCTACAAAAAATTAAATATAACAAAAACAGTCTTCACTAAGTTTACGATAACATTGTATAGTATACCTACAGTGCAACTATTCACTTATCAAAAATATCAAAAAAAGCTGCAGTTCCATAACGGAACAAATGAATAACAGATATTTGACAGGCATGGGCTATTCTTCGAAGCCTTACTGTCGCATGACGTCAACTGTGACGTAATACACTGAGTATGATAATTTAGGCGGTATGTGCAGTATGAGAATAGGTGAAATAACATAATCAAATTTGTATTTTTGAATGAATAGCAAATCTGTTTCATAGTTTTGGACGTTTCTAGTGTTGTAACAATCGACACCTTTCACATAGCGATAGGCTGCTCAATTTTTCTCTCAATTTCTGCGCGCATTCAAAATTTATCACCAATTTAAATCAGTGAGTTCTATCTCTCATTCCACTACATTTTACATTCCTTCTCACATTATCTCAATCAAAAACTAATGAAGGAAAAGTAAAAATTATTATCTACGTATTTCCCTGGAATTACATTTTTTTGTTTTTTATTGTGTTATATATTACGTGCTACTTAAAAATCGGTTTATGGAAAAATCTCTGTTATTGTTCTAGGACTTACAACTGTTTCTTGATGAAGCAAAAGAAGGAGCCATACTTTTTAGTCTTGGATCTAATTTGAGGAGCGAAAAACTTACTCCAGAGAAGAGGAAAGTCCTAATGGATGCATTTGCAGAACTACCTCAGAAAGTTCTATGGAAATTTGAGGCAGACTCTCTACCAGGCCAGCCTAAGAATGTGAAAATTTCAAAGTGGTTACCTCAAAGTGATATTCTTGGTAAGAATAATGCAAATATTTTTATTGACTTTTGAAGATTCACTAGACTTTGATCACGCTAAGAGGCTATTTATTTGTTGTTGTTTTTTTGTTATTTTCTCACTGAATAGGAGTTATTGATTCCTTTTTTAATCTATTAATGTTATGTGTTAAACATTCGGGGATTTACATAATTTCAATCTTAACTTCAGAAAATAATTAAAATATAGATTATTAATTCTCTGACTCATTCTACATATACACCGTGCAGAGAATTTTTGTTTTAATTTTTTTTAAAGGATATAAAATTTAAAATGTTAACTTTATAGTTCTAATAGGTGTACATTGTAATGCAACTTTAATTTTAAATGCTATTCCTTAATGAACAACTTTTTTTAAGTTACAGTCGAATTCCTGTAATCCTAACTAATTGGGGGTGTGGTCTTTCGGATTCGAAAATGTCCTATCCAAAAAAATGTACCGTATATATGCAAATGAATCTATAGTGTTACCAAACAATGTAATGCAGCGTGCGATGTGAGAAAATGGCAACATTTAGTAGCGTTCGCATCGTCAAACAGATTCAGTTACTTACGCAAAAGATTACAGATATTGCAAGTTTGTCTGAGTGAAAATTACTACTATATAAACATGTGATATACACCGTAGTTACCAGTGCCATAACCGTTTCATTTTACAAATTGTGTTTTAATAATTGGTTGTTCAGTTCTACAGTAACTATAAAATCCTTTCTTTACACTGTAAAAAAATATTTTATTTCTTTTTCCACCATCCCGAATTTTGTTCGAATTATCCGAAATTTCGAATTTGCGAGGTTCGTACTACCGACGTTCTACTGTATCTACAAAATAACATCTCTTTTCACATATTCTTTTGTCTAGAACTCGTTGAATGACAAATATTTTTGTTGGCATAAATTCTCAAAAGTTTCATTAACACTTCTTTTTTTCTGTCCCCTAGCGCATCCCAATGTGAAAGTTTTCATATCGCATTCAGGACTGTTGAGCACACATGAAGCCATTTACAGAGGTGTTCCAGTCATTGGAATACCATTTTTTGGCGATCAACCTGTCAACATTCAGAAATTAGTGAGCCATGGTGTTGCCATTCAGCTAAACTTCAAAGAACTCACGAAGGAATCCCTTCTTAAGGCCATTCGCACAATCCTTAATGATTCCAGGTACGTTCTATAAATGAAATAATACTAAAATTATTTTGTACGTTTCAATGGTAAAAATAGAGTACTTAAAAACAATATCTTCTATTGCATATTAAGTATTGTTTAATAAATAAATTTATTTATTTATTCATCCAACGGAGAGTTACTGAGACGAAGTACCGCGAACAGTACCAACCTCTCGCATCAAAACTCGGTTAACTTTATCGGGTTTATATACTCCGAGGCGAAATAGACACACTCTTGTCAAGTTATCTCACTGGTCAGCATGCTTGCTCCCGAGGACGAGATCCCAGGTTCGACTCCCGGACGGGGCAGCCTGTAGTGTACGCCTTCCTTGCAATGTCCCAGTATCTGATGCTGTGTGACGATTAGAAAGTTGACGTGTAAGGTTAAGGAGACCACAATACGGCATAAGGGTGTAAATGTGCTGGCCACACGTACCCGAACCCATGTCCGCAAGGTCGGAACACCGCTGATAGGTCTCGGGCCCGTAGGGAGCTGTTGTGCCAGTAAAAGAAGAAACAGGTACACAACTCATGTATTGCACGCTTCATGTTTTAAACACGATTAGCGAGATAATTAAGCGAGGTTGGTGAAACCGGGCCTTAATAGGAACTTCCAGCTTTTTCCTTCTCTCCTTCATTCCTAGATAGTGTATCTAGCGACTCTAGTCGCCCACATCACACAGCGCTCCTGCGATCAGAGAGGAAACGTTTATATATAAACATACGCCTCACGCCAAGGGAGGAATTTCTTCCTAAATTGAACTGTCATATACATATGTATTCTTAAACTAAATCAACGCATCTCGGGCTTTGCGATGCGTCGAGTCAAAGGCAACAGCTGGCACATGTGTAATCTTTCAATTTAGGCTAGTGGAAGCTCGGGTGAAGGTTATGCAGAGAATTATCTATCTCGACACGTGTCGATGCTTGTAATGTAGTTTGTTTTATGTTTCGTTCGATTGATTTACTTTCTGCTATTGATTTATTTCCTACTCGTAATTGCGTACGAGCCATTACTGATCGAAAGTCATTCAGTATCTCAATTTAATACGTAATAAATAATTTAAAATCCACAAATAAGAATACATGTTTAATTTACCATCAATGAAAAATTCTTTATAAGAAACTTCCTGTTGGCTGGACACCTTTAGTCACCCTGCCGCAATAGTAAATTCCTGATTACGTCAATAAGAATAATGTATTTCAATTGTTTAAAGCTGTATTGTTACAATAAAAGCACTTTGAATTCATTAAAAATTACCTGGATGAATTATTTGGATTCACGTGATCCTTATATTACTGTATTATCCTTTTATATATATACTTTTAGTATTTGTTTAGAAGTGAAATTTTTAGTCATACATTTTTCACGGAATATTATTACATTCTTTGAGTTGTCGCAATGTACGTCTAGCCATGATCAACAACACTCTGTTCATCAAACGTTTTAACATTGAGTTCTCTGTTAGAACATGTATAATTCTGTAAATGTGCTGGGTAACGGCGTGGTAATGGCAGGTCTTAATAAAGACCGAAAATTATATTAAATGTGTGAATAGTAAACTAAACTAAAATTTGTATTATAATTACGTATATTAAAAATGAAGTAAAATCATTTCAAATCAAATCAACATTTAAATTAAAACAAAATTAATCACCTGAGATATAAGTGATTACACATACAGTAAATGAAATATTTAATAACAATAATAATAATAATAATAATAATAATAATAATAATAATAATAATAATAATAATAATAATAATAATAATGGTGGTGGTGGCGGTAGTAGTAGTCAAAGTGCTTACGTTATTTTTTGTTGGTTTTCAGTTACAGAGAAAATATGAAGAAGCTTTCAGCAAAATTTCGAGATGAGCAACAAACCCCACTAGAAAGAGCGGTTTTCTGGTCTGAGTACGTTTTGCGTCACAAAGGTGCACCCCACTTACAGTCAGCTGCTAAAGATCTCAATTTCATACAATACTTCCTTCTCGATGTATTAGCATTTATATTCCTTATACCTGCTTTGTTAATCACTGTTTTATATTGGGCGTGCACTCGAAGAAAAAGAAATCAGAATAGAAAGCATAAGCTTCTTTAAAGTTATAATATTGTATACGCATGTGAAAGATGTTTATATATCACGAAACGGAATAAATGATTCGGTCAGAATTTAAAAATAAAATTTTTATTTTTGATAATAAAAATACCACAAAGCCAATTACAAAAAACTGAGAGTACTACAATAGCACGCATTTTTGTAAAGTACTTGCCATTTCTGTATTTATTTATATATAGTGTTAGTGCTTGGTAAAATATACCTATTTTGTATGAAAGTATGTTTAAATAATAAAATAATAATGTGAAACACGCAATATTCTGCTTTTAGTACTCTTTCCCCCAAATATTCAAGGAAAATTTGTGAATGAATGATGTCACAATGAAAATTAAAAAAGAAGATACGTTATTCTGTAAATTTTTTCGTAGAATAAAGTACGCTTGTAAAGTCTGGTTGACATCTTGCACCAAAACTCGTAACAAGATGTTAGGGCACAGGCTGTAGTATGCGAAGAAACTAAATATAAGACAGAAAATTATCGCAGATCACTTTATATCAAAAGATCAAATCAAGTCGAAGAGCCGAAAATTACGGGATTCTCAAAATATTCAAGATAGAATATTTGTAGAAAATGCAATTATGCATGAATTCGTTGCAAGAACAATTCACCAGTTTATTCTCAATAAAATATATTCTTGAAAATTAAACTTTCAGGGAGCCAGCGGCAGTCGGCTCCCAGCTGTAGTGGATGGTAGATCGCTCGCCTCCGTAACCTCTGCAAATGCCCCCGTCATGTCGCTGTGTCGTGGCTGTCATGAAACCATTGTGTTGCATCACGTTGTGTCGTGGCTTTTCTTTTGGAACAGCGCTTCGCCAACAAAGTTTGCGTTAAGCTTCTGTAATTTTCTGTTTTATATTTAGTTTCTTCGCATACTACAGCCTGTGCCCTAACATCTTGTTACGAATTTTGGTGCTGCAAAACCGGGAAAGGCACTCATTGTATCATCGAGTCGGCTTACGATGATAACGTCATGGGTAGATCGCGTGCTTTCGACTGGCACAAGCTATTTCGGGAGGGGAGAGAGGAGGTCAAGACGACACACGTTCAGGACGGCCTTCGAACTCCAAAACTGACGAAAACGTGACGAGAGTGAATATTTTGCTAGACAGTGACCGCAGATTAACTTTTTGTATTATTGCCGATGAACATCACCGAAATCCAACGAAATTTTGAGCGAAAAACTGCAAATGAAATCTTCGTGAAGTTGGTGCTGAGAGTATAAGCACATTCACAATGCAAACAAACATAACGCATAGACGTAAACATTAACATAAGTGATAGACTGAAGTATTCACAATGTGTAACAAACGTAAGGAAAATAAATATTTCTATTGACTGTGAGACATTCTGGTTTACTAATGGTTCGATGTGAGAATCGTTTTCGAGGTACCGAGTGTCCATAGCCCATTGTACATGGCGTTAAGTTCGTCTATCGACATGTATCCTATTTCGATTCTCGATTTTGAGTTAACGAACTCTCATTGGTTCATTTCTTATGTCTTTCTCAAGCATAAGCATAGACGCTTGCAAGCTTTTAAGTTAAGGCTCATTCACAATGCAAACGTAAACATTAGCATGGCATTGACATAAAAGTTTGGACTTCGTCCATAAGCGGACTCATTCACAATGTGTTCTCATAAGCATAACATGTAAGACGTTCACTTAAAAGGTTGCAAGCTTCAAGCTTCTGTGCTTATGCTTACGGAAGACATAAGAAATGAACCAATCACAGAAAGGTAATTCAAAATCGAGAATCGAAATTGGAGCGAAGTCGATAGAAGACTAACGCCATATAAGGACATAGAGTCGATATCTTGAAATCGATTCTCACATCCAACCAGAAAGTCTCACAGCCAATAGGAACTTATTTTGCTTACGTTTATGTTAGGAATTGTGAATAGTTCAGTCAATCGCTTATGTTAATGTTTATGTCTATGTGCTATGCTTATGTTTACGTTTGCATTGTGAATGGGCCTTTAACGTTTTACATGTTATGCTTATGCGAACAGATTGTGAATGAGTTTGTGGGCGAAGTCCTAACTTTTATGATAACACCATGTTTATGTTTGCATTGTGAAGTAGAAGGGTCATATTTTGAAGAATATTGGGCGCATGTATTATTTCTGTCCATAAATGTTTTGTATTTACTTGGCTGTCCGGGTGACGCCGCGTCCAAGGCAAAGGTGCCGACGTTTCGGTCGCCATTCTGCGACCGTCGCCCTGAGGATTACGCCCTGAGGAAGGTCGCAGAATGGCGACCGAAACGTCGGCACCTTCGCCATGGACACGGCGTCACCCGGACAGCCTAGTAAATACTGACTCCGGCCGCGGAAGCCTACGCTCACAAATGTTTTGTACTTCACTCAGTTCGGCTACTTGAAGAGCAATAGGCCTACCCGATTTAGATTTAGATTCATTCAGTCAAAAAAAAACAGTAAAAACTGTATGTGACGTGGGGGGAAAGATATTCTGATATTCGCGCAATGATACTCTTCACTGGATTCCCAGTGATCTCAGAGGACCGATAGGGACTGCGAGAGGACATGACGGGTGTTCCAGGCGCCGATAGATAGCAGCTGAGATGAGGATGAGGCAAAACCATAAAGCTACCCCCGATTTAAAAAAAAATGGAGGAATTAGGAGAAAGACTGAGCCATTTTGTAGCCACCATTAGTTTATTAGTACCGAACTTCAAATTGATACAATGCTCATATTGATAGAATATAATGATATAATGCTCACATTGATAAAAGATTTTTTTGACCCTAGAACCTACTGTAGGATCAACTATTTTCTTCTTCTTCTTTTTCATGCTCAGACTTCCCTCATAAACACTACATTATTAATTCATTTATGTCAATTTATTAATGCAGTACTCATCCCAGAAGCAACGCTTTCTTGTATATTTTCTCTCGTAACAATTTACAGCGTACGGTGACGCTACAAAAAAAGTTCACTGAAGAAGTCTGCTGAAAAGGTTTTTTGGCCTTTTCTTTTCTACGATAGATGTATTTGAAAATCATTTAGCTCATTTCAGTGTTTATATACGTAGTCCCGTCCTCCATTCAGCTACCTACCAGCCCGTCCGTCCGTCTGCCCGTCCGCTCGTCCGACCGCCCGTCCCACCGCCCATTCGTCCATCCGACTGCCCGTCCGTCCGTGAACACCACCAGCCACTCAAGTATTCGTAGGATTTATTTCCGAAATTAATATTACCAGGTTGATCTGGTCCGTTTCGAAGTCCTTACGATTTTGAAAAATCTTTGAATTTGGGGGGTACTTTACATAAAGCCCCTGGGACGTTTTCAAAATTTTCTCAAAAATGGCTCGAATTTTTTGTTTACCTTCCTTGTAAGAAAAGAGTGAAATGCGCATATAAATATAGCAAAGGGCTGATTTTCAATGTTAATTCCATTTACAAAAAAATTAAAGTATTTTTTAAATGTTGTTGTTATTATTATTATTATTATTATTATTATTAATTATTGTTGTTATTATCATTATTATTATTATTATTATTATTATTATTATTTTCTTCCATCTTCCTAACAACAACATTGAGGATAGAGATTTTTTATATGAAATTAGTTCTCCCCATTTATGTAGTTCTATTAATGTTATGTGCATTTTTTTTATTAGTTTTCACTGATTTTTTTAATATTAAACAAGTGTAATTTTTTATACATTTCTCATATTAACTTTAAGCCCGATTTTTATATTTTATTGCATTTATGAGTATAAGTGCTTCAATTGATCTCGTGAAGTATTTTGAATGCTCAAAAGCTTTCTCTGGAAATTAGCTCAAAATTGCACATTTTCAGAAACACTTGGAAGACTTTTCCTCAAAAAGGGCTCCAATATTTTCTTTAAACTAATTGTACAGATATTACTCAATGCAATAGCATGATGTAAACAACTATTTTGTGTATTATTTTTATTTTTCAACATTACACCAATGCATTTTTTCAAACATCTCTCATATTAATATTTTCTTTACCAGTATTGTTTATATATTATTGAAATAGTGAGAACAAGTGTTTCAAATGACTTCTTTTACAGTTTTTTGAAAACTCAAAACTTTTCTGTGTAAATGACTTCAAGGTGCATGTTTTCATAAACAATCAACTACATCTTCCCCAAAACAGAGGCAAATTTTTCATTGAAAAATTGCATCTAGGATCACATTTTACTCTTCTACAATAAGCCTAATGTTATATTTTAATTCTAGCATCAGAGGAGTGGAAAATTGAGATACTATGAATAAATTTCTTTTAGGCCCCAACAGGTGACATCTGGAAAGAGGGAGAGGTAAAACAGAAAAGTTATCTCAGATTAAAAAGATTTAGAAACTAATTAATATGAGAATGTCTCTGTCTTTCTGTAGCACCACTAGTCACCTCTTAATTTTATGGAGAGTAAATGATTTAATATCATAGTTACAACTGCGGATTGTATATGACTAACATGGGAAATTGTGTCCTAGATTGCATTTATTCATTTTTAGTGCTATACTCAATTAGCTTGTACAATTTTTTTTCTTAAGAAGGTTCTGAGATCTTCTGTCTGGGAATAGAAGCATCTTACTGCAGAGTGTTAAGATAAAAGTACTGAATTAGTCAGAGGAGAGTGACAAACATGACACTAATATCAAAAGTAATATCTGTCACTCTCTCAGTTCTGCACAAATATTATTCCCTCTGAAAGGGATCATTTCATTTATGTATTCCCTGACATAAACAATTCACAATTTTTTTTTTTTAAACTTCTCTTTGAATGGAAAAGATATGAGGTCAAATATGACTTCTAATGCACATTTCTTTGTTTATACAGCAGGGTTCTATGGTTAAATACCTAATATAAGATTCACAGTCACTTTAGGGTTAGGTGACAACATATGTAAACCATAATATTTTATATATAAGTAACAATGTAAAATAGGTACTGGCCAAATATAAAGAACAAAAGGTAGAACGTAGTTTACAACTCATTTATCTGACATTATATAAATTCAATCCAATCAAAAAAGAATGAAAAAACTTTTAAAACAAAAAACAAATATCAATTTAGTTAATATTTCACAATTAAATGATTTCACAATTTCCAACTCTGGAAGTGTGAAAATGTTCAGTTTTAAAACATAACTCCACTACACAATAATTTACTACAATATGTATTCATTCATAACCACAGAGCAGTGATTACATAAGAGTGGGCCTGATTGCTGTTGCTCAACAGGCACAAAGCTTCTCTATCTCCCTGTGGAGATTAGACTCAATTGAAGATACTAAGGGACCCAAGCAAGATGAAATTATTCTAATGCTCCAGAAAAGTATTGATAAAACGTAGTTTGTATATTATGAATGGAAGTGAAAGTATCAATAGTTGACTAGTGGTAGAACCAACATTAATTGTGGTTACTTTTACTGAAACTTGTACATTTAAGCAAGTAAGCAAACAAATGTTATAATGTCAAGTGATGTGCTACATATGTCAAGTATTAACATTAAGATATAAAATGTGCCTGTTGCGGTATTTAGAGAAAAATTAAAATTAGTTTGCTTCATTCTATTTGTAATATTAATTTTTGCCAATGAGCATAAGTTCATAGCACACTTTTCATAAATCTATCCCGCTTTTTCGGTATCATATTGTTGTAAGCACTTTTAGTTTATTGGTTTATTTCTTTTTAAACATAACCTTTAGACATTCGAACCCATATTACTTAAAAGTCATTGGCATACCTGCCTAGACCTACAAACATTTTGTCAGAAAACTCATTTTTAAAATATTGGAAAATTTGTGTATTTAAAGGTTATGCTTTTAGTGAGGATGCAATTTAAAAGTGCATGTCTTCACTAGACAATGCAGGTCCTGTAAGCTACACAGAGGCTCCTACGTAAACACCTAAATAAAAATACATCTCTTATTGCTATTCTAATTTCAGTAATTAGATATGCTAGCATTTTAATCATTCACTACAGTACTAAAAGGTGTTAGGATCCTAATGCTTAAATCTCATAAAAAAAGATCCTGAATTTAGGTTTGCATATGTATAAAATAAGGTACATTAATCACCAATGATATAATTATTTTTAAAAAAAATACTATAATTGCATTTTTCTTTGACAATTTTATTTCTACACTCTATTGCAATTCACTTTCTCAAACCAAATTCTAGTGGTTAGCAAGAACTTAAATTGGAATTAAAACTTATAATAACTTTTTCATAAAACTATCTACAATTCAAAAGATGAAAAAAGTCGTATTGACAATTTTGCTTGTTTTTGTTTGTTTTCTTTTTCCTTTTTTCTTATAAATGCATTATTTTGATATATCATTACCCAGTATTTAAAGGCACTAAGAGGTTAATTGTTGGTTTTATCAAAGAAATAAACTCCATTTGATTTAAAATAATGGGAAAGACTAGCTTAAAATTTTTTTTAGACTCACTGTGAAATAAAATTTTCTTTACATTCTATTATATCTGTGGAGAATTAATGTAGGACAGTAACATCCTCAGGATATTTGAAGAACACTTTTTCTTTGCAATGGAAAATGTGCTGAGAATCATCTAATACAAATACATACATACATAGTAGAGGCAGATGCTTAGTTTTTTGAATGCAAGTTTTCAAGGCTCCAGCTTATCAGTTCTGATCATAGTTTACAGTATTCTTTTTTGGATAATAAATGAGTGAGAGCTTTCAGGGGCACTTCCCCTGAATATTATTCCACATTTTAGGTGTGAAAGCACATTTTCAAAATATATTATCCGAAGGGTCACAATGCAGCTTCTTGACTTTGAGGTATATAGGGCCTAATAAGATTTGGTGATCATTTTGCTAATAGGGTATAGGGTATAGGGATGTCTATGTCCTAACCACACATACTACTCAACCCATGGTCACTCCTGGTGGTCTTTAGCTCCTTATGAAGCTTTTGTGCCAAAGTACGCATTTGGTATTTATTATGATTTTGTTGTCCTCAAACCATTTTACTAGTGCTTGCAAGATTTTGTGTGTTTATTTCTCTAAGGAGTGTTTTTGCTTTAATGGTTGTTTGTGTCATATGCAAACAAAATTATTTTGTTATTTCTTAAAGCCAAAGAATTATAATTCACTTATATAAAGAATAGAATTGGCTCCATGTTGTATCCTTGTGAAACTCCACAATTTCTTATCTGAGCGGATGAGGTAATAACTAATAAATTTCCTTTCAGATGAAAATGCAGCAGTTACCAATCAAGATATATACATTTGTAATATGTTGCATCCAACTATCAACTGCAGCAAATATTCTTGCAGTTTTCCCCATTGCTTCACCAAGTCATCATATTTGGAACACACCACTTGTAGTCACTCTTGCTCAGAGGGGACATAACGTAACTGTCGTTGGTCCTGAGGCATTGAAAACACAAGTGCCTAATCTAACCGATATAGTCATCACAGGTCTTTATGAAGCAATTCTAGAAGAATTTAATTATGAAGAGATTATAGACGTGTCTCCTCTTTTCACCATGGGCATGTTCTTCGATTACTCAAGTCATCAGTGCTTAAGCATACAGAAACATGACGCATGGAAGCAATTAATGAACTATCCTCCAGATACAAAATTTGATCTTCTTATAACCGAGTCTATTGGTGCAGAATGTCTTCTTGGAGGTATTCAAAGATTTGGGGACCCTCCGATAGTTTCCATAAATGCTTTTAACGTTCCTTTTTGGATGCTTGAGACAAGTGGAACACCTAACATGCTTTCTCATATTCCACATTATGTGTTCACTGGGACTGACCACATGACATTTTGGCAACGAGTGACAAATGCTATCTACTATGTCTACTCTTATTATCACTACTACTATAGTTACTTGCCAGCTATGGATAAAGCTGCACGTCAATATTATGGCCCAAATGTTCCTTCTTATTCAGAAGTACAACAGAGAATTAGCATTAGTATGGCTAATTATCACCCAGTGTTGGACTATCCCTTTGCAATTACACCCAACTTGATTCCTGTTGCGGGCATGCAGATTAAAGATCCAAAACCATTACCACAGGTGAGTTTAAGGACAATTCAATGACAATATGTGTAAAGTTAGTGGCTCTCCTCAAATAATATAAAATAACATAATTTCAGAAACTTAATTTTTTTTAATTTAAAATTTGAATTGTACCTGGGCTCATCAACTGTTTAGTGCAATTTATGGTAAACATTCTAGTGTGATGATAAATGTGATCACATTTATTTCTGCTATGTTATGTTATCCTTCCCACAGTAAAGTCCAGAGTATTTGTTTGTGCATAATGTTAAAATACCACAATATTTAACACAGACAATTTTAAGATTTTTGTAGGATTACAGCCACCACAGATTTCATTCAATTAAAATACATTTGTTATGAATATGAATGCAGTAATACATATTTCAATTTTTAAAAAATGGGAAAATTTAAGAAAATATACTGGTCACACATTTATTTCTACTATCTACTTCATTACTTCTCTGCTACCACAGCTATTTAATTCTTCTACAGTGTTTTTCCTTCCTCTCCCAAATCAAAATAGCCCCATACTTAATTAGGGTTGCCATGAAAAACTAGTTTATAGCTTTATTCTCAGATGAATGAGTCAGTGAATATTTATTGATTCTGGGTACGTAAACTACTATGGTCATTTCTGCAAGTGTAATGCATGATATATCTCAGGAGATAGAGGTCTTTTCCCTCATTGGTTTCTGAGATCTGGCAATGACCTACATTTTGGTTTGCGGGGTTTCTCTTTCTCTGGTATCTCCCACAGAAGAAACCCACCCAGGACAAGCTCTAACCTCTCGGTACATGTGGTACTTTTGGGCATGTAAGTGTGTGTGTGTGTGTGTATGAATGTGTGTGATTAAGGGGAGTGGAGGAGACAAGGACGAGGGAGAGAAGATAGTTCACACTCAGGTTCCATTTGGAAAAGTAATGCTCTGGCATTCACATGGTAGTGATTAGAGAATCCATGAAAAACTACAGATCAGAGCAGTCTATCATAGGTACCATACCTACTATATTTATAGGTACTATTCAGTGTCTAGATAACACTGATCCTTGACATTGAGGGTATCTTCCACTTCAGTAGAGTGAACATTAACGTGAATATAGGCCTTGACATTGGAACAACAATTGAAATGTTACAGGAGGGGATACTGAGGAATTGAAGAGCAGGGGAATATACAGGGCATATAAAAATAATGAACAATGCTAAAAGAAGTTTGTAATAAATTGTGAAATAAAAAGTTACTGAAAGTGTGTTTTATTGTTTTTAAATTGGATATAACTCCTTAATTGAGAGATATTATTAGACAATCAGATTAGGTTATTTTAATAAAGAAGTAAGTTACATTTCAGAAATTTATTATTATTATTATTATTTTAATGTGTTTAAAAACCTGTATTTTGAATAATTAATCAATGTTAAACTTCTGTTTTAGGACTTACAAAACTTCCTTGATGCTGCAAAAGAAGGAGTAATATTTTTCAGTCTTGGGACTAACTTAAGAAGTGAAAAACTAACTCCAGAGAAGAGGAAAGCTCTAATGGAAGCATTTGCAGAATTACCACAAAAAGTTTTATGGAAATTTGAGGCTGATTCTCTTCCTGGACAGCCCATGAATGTTAAAATTGGAAAATGGTTGCCTCAAAGTGATATTCTTGGTAAGGATAGTATTCACACGTTTAACTTTTTTGATTGCTACTTTCATTATATAAAGTTATGTAATCCTGCAGCAAAAAAAGGTGATTTTTCTACAGAAAAAGGAGTGCCGTAGGTCCCTGACACTGAAAAAGCTGATCATTCTTGTTCCTTAAAAGTGTTCTTGTAAAATACTTCCTCTAACATATTTTATGTGGTCATTAGCTCTGGCTGATATCATGTCACCTTGAATTTGAAATGGATATTTTGGTTCTGGGGGATACTTTGCATGATCATGAGATCAATCAGTAAAACCATCAAACAAAAAACATTTATTGATGTTCTAAGGCAGGGCATGAGCATTAAAGTTCAAATAACAAAGATTAAAAAGTGTGTATGATTTAAAGAATAGTTTCTACTGCTGGCTATGAACTAATGACCACTCTCTTCCTTTGTCTTCAACTGCTGATAATTTATTATCTTTTTTCTCACAGCTAAATAGGCTAATGTCCACTAACTGTGTTTAAAACCTCCTACCCCTCTTAATGTTACATAATTTATAGACGATCCCTTAGTACCTTCACAATCCAATTTCCAAATGATCAGTCACATCATTTCAAATGTACTGGCTTCTCCCAAAAACTTCTCTGATTTAACTAGAATACAAATAATTATTCAGTTAAAAGAAATGTTGATTCTTGTTTAGTACTTTTAATTACGTATCCAAGTAAATTTCATTTATTCTCTTTCAAAATGGTTCCACAAAAAATATAATTGAGAAAAATTATTCCAGGGGTAACTTTTTTTTTTATAAACGATTCCAACTATTGCTGTCGATTACACAAATATTACCTCAAGAGAGATCTACTATACTATAAAACTTTTTCTTTATTATTAAAGTCTGCATCCTATCCAATGTATTTCTCCTTCCCCTCACAATTTTATTCACCTTTTTTCTCTTTTTGCTTTCTTACAGCACATCCCAATGTAAAACTGTTCATATCCCATTGTGGGTTGTTGAGTACACATGAAGCGATATACAGAAGCATTCCTATTCTTGGAATACCATTTTTTGCTGACCAACCAATCAACATTAGAAAACTGGTGAATAACGGTGCTGCAATTCAACTGGACTTCAAAGATCTCACAAAAGAATCTCTACTTAAGACTTTACATTTGCTTCTGAATGATCCTAGGTATGTGGAAATAGTTGAGTTTTCCCATGCACTAGTTTAATATGACTATCATATTGGTAATTTGCATTAGTACTCTTGAATTAAACAATTCAGATATTCCATATTCTGTCAAAATGTCCATTCTGCAAACATTATGATACTAGTGTGTAATAAAGGAGCATATTTGTTTATTTTAATGAGAATATTTTGCATCAACTTTTGTATTGTTAGAAAAAATGTTAACAAAGAATAGTTTTTACTTCCTAATATATGCATTACAGTGTTTTTAAAATATGTTCTTTTTATGTTTCTGTTTTTTTAATTTTTTTTTTCATTATTATTTTTTAATCTAAAACATTCACAGAATTTTGGTCAAAATTGATATTTTCTGATCAATCTGGCTGATATCATGGCCCCTTAAATTAGAAACAGATATGTAAAATTTTGGAGTTTTAATTTCATGAAGCCCCAACATCATTTCTGAAATTTTCTCAAAGATGTCTTCAATTTTTTTAAAAGATTTTTGCTCCAATAAAGCAAAATAAAGATGGCTACCTCGGCTCGAAGGATCGCGGGTTCAAATTTCGCTCCAGGCATGGATGTTTGTGTGTGTTTTCATGTTGACTGAGAGTGTTCCCCTAACTACCAACACGAACAATATAAACCAATGTAAAAATTACAGAGGTCACTAGTGACCAGAGTAGTTACAAACCAATTGGAAATAAGTAAAAATAAAAATTTTAAAGGAATATACCCTTGTAAAAATGCGTTAAGTCCATTCAACATCACCTATACGTACGTCTAGGTAGTGTTGGTTCAATCGTATTTGATCTTGTTACATCAGATTATGTCCTTAATTAATGACATATTCAACATTTTCAAAAGAGATTTTTTTAAGAGTAGTTTTTATGTAATTTTGAATGAAATTATGACAATTTTTAAAAAATTTGGAAGCAAGTGAAAATAGCTTCAAATTGTTTGTTCAAAGTTCACTAAATAGGGACAGATTGAATCACTATTAGAAAATGGAATTTCAAAAATTTTAATGGTTCCTTTTATTTTCCGAAAATGTCCATCACGGTCAATATTGAAGAGAGAGCTTTTTATAATGGAATCCATTCCTTACTAAAAGTTCCTTGAATTATTTCATGTATTTCTCTTTTCTAGTAACGTTTGTGTAGTACTGTTATTTAATTTGTATTTTTCAAGTGATCACTGAAATTATAGTTTAACCATTACCAAAAGCATGAGAAGGTGTGTGCTGTTTTAGCACCATTAGTTTTTCTAACGTAATGAGAAAAGGAAATAAAGAGAGTTGTGTTATTTGTTTTATCTTACTACTCATCAGAATCAGTAAAGTTGTTAAGAAACACTTGCATAGATACTCTTGATACCACACCTGTGGCCAACCAGTCCCTATGGAAAAGAGAATAATATTTACTCAAAGACCATTTATTTTTAAAGTTACCTCAATTGAGATAATTTTATATATCTTTCAGTATGAGGAAGAAGACTTGTCAGTTACTGGAATCACATGCCTAACTTCTATTGAATTAATTTAGAGATTGGAACATTGTTCTATATTGCCATGATGAATTTAATAAATGATCATTTAATAACAGTATAAACTAATTTTATTTATGATTTCAGTTATAGAGAAAACATGAAGAAACTGTCCGTGAAATTCCGTGATAATCCTGAAACACCTCTTGAAAGAGCGGTCTTCTGGACAGAATATGTTTTACGTCACAAAAACGTACCACATTTACAGTCAGCTGCTAAAGACCTCAACTTTGCACAATACTTCCTCCTTGATGTATTGGCATTTCTGTTGGCTATACCTGGTTTGTTAATCATTCTTTTATTCTGTGTTTGCTGCAGAAGAAAATCCACTCAAGCAAGGAAACAGAAACTGAATTAAATGTTCCAATACTTCTTGTGCTTATTGCAATGTTAATAGTTCTTGATTCTTAAGAAAATAATGTTGAAACTGATAGAATCATGCTGATAAAATTTCTAAATGAAAGATATCATTGTAAAGATGAGGTGTTTAACAAATTAAAAAATATACCTTTATAGCGTCTTTCCCCTCAATTTTCTAATACGTCAAGGTTGGTAGGTTTATAGAAAAAAATTACCAAAGGATAATCAAGCAAACCTCCAATTTTAGAAATGAAATGGCAAAAATTGTGGCTATAGATATCCAAGGTTCATTAACAATAATTTGCTAATTCAATTCTACAAATAATTATCAACCATTGTGTTATGAAATGAAGAATTTGTTAGGAAAAAAATTATGAATGAAATGTTTATGAGCAAATGGAGGAAATAACAGCTTTTAAATACAGCTTTGAGATTTGATGCAAAAAGTTCCAAGAGAAAATTGGAGTTGAAAATTCTGGAAATTAATAAAAAGACGAAAGATATGAAGGAAAAGAAGAAAAAAACACAATAAAAATAATTTTTGTAATACTGTAGTTATTATTGATTTAAGGTAACTAAACAGAGGAATGAAAAGCCACTTTTAATGGCTGGGGTCCATAAATAATTGAACAATCGTGTGTTGGTTAAAACATTCAAAACAAAAGAATTGTAGTTACAGATGAGGTATCCCACAAAAAGATATTAATTATAGAGCATAAATGAAACCAAGTGCCGAAATGGGGCCAAGTGCTGAAATGTGAAAATTTGCATTTTGTGCTGAAAAGTGTGTTAAGTTTCAAGCACAATGCTGTGTTAAATGGGCTATCTGAAGATGTCATTCTTAAGGGTTTAAAATGTTAGACTGTGCATCATGCAAGTCCCAGAGGCTATTGAATTAGTTTTTCTTAATTATCTTAAAATTACATTTTTGGCACTTAGCACGGTTTTCACTTATTGTCTTTAATTTCGTATATTATTTTTAATATGTATATTACAAAAAGTATAGAATGCTAGTAACTGTTAGTAACACAAATAACATATTCGTTCAGTTATTAAACTCAGCTACTGCATCCATTTACCAATTTCAAGTATGTCTGTTATTTACTGTTTATATATCTAATGATGCTTCTAATAATTGTATAATGTTTGAATTGTTTAAGCACAATGTGTAAAAAATAAGAAGTATGCATTTAGATGTAAATCGTTAATTGACTACAGTATTAAATAAAATCTGAATATTTTTGAACATCTACTATGAGTTGTCAAAGTGCTCTAAGGGTGCAAATTCAAGTTACTCTTAAAATCTTAAAACAAGTTTTATACTCAAAATGAAGATTTTTTTTTAGAAAGAAATTTTAATTTCAAATTAAATTATAAATGCAATACATTAGTTTTATGAAGAAAGTATGGTACAATAATTGAGAAATAATTTAAAGGCAACAAAATCACAATATAAGGTCTGAGGTTTACTCTGATATTGTGGATACAAAACTTTTCTTCGACACTTGAGATATTCATATTCCAAAACAATGTATTCTTCTAAAGTATTTTTGACTAAATGTGGATTTCCAATTGCAATATTTGAGTTATGAACTAGTCATTTATGTAAATCACCGAACTGTCATTTATTCATTAAGTAATTCCATTTTCAGATGACAAAATGTAAGTCAATTTCCATTTATAAATAAGTTTTATTAATAGTGATTAGGTTTTATTTTAAAAATGTATATGTAATGCATCCAAATGATTCAATTTTTCTTAAAAAATTGTTTAGATATTGTTCAACGTTTTGTAAATAAAACATCAGTGAAATGCCTCTTTTCTTTCATCTCTCCTACATTCATATAATGTAATGCTACAACAGTTAATACTAAAACTGATTCAGAATAAAAACATCATGAATGTACCTGCAATAAAGGGGAATCGATGATGTGGAAATGGATTCCTATCTATAAATTCACACTTTGAAAACCAAGAAACAACTAAAGTTTGGAACAATCATGTTATAATTAAGCAGTCAACGTAGATGTTTCAATTTTGGCAATAACTAAATACCCGCCCGCAAAAACGTTGTATCGCTCACTTTTCTGAAATGAGTGAAGCATTTAGAAAACTAGGTTAGCAAACATAAACTCATTAATTTTGCCATGAGTAGCATGGATGCATAAACATTGTCACAATGGAGGAGGAAAGACGTGTGTCACTAAATTTTCATTTTGAGGGTTACATTTTTACCAGCAGGAATTCAATTGTCTGTGTGATGTAAGAAATTTTATAAGCCTTTTCATATAAAGAATAACTCTGCAGTTATCTACAGTATTAATAATAGGCACAATGTTTTACTTTTCATTCCTAATAGCTAAATTGAAAAAAAATAAAATAAAGTTTCATTGCATAATTTATAAGATGTGTTTTTATTGAAATGCTATGTTTGATTACATTGTATTTATTACATGTACTTACATTACATGTATAAGACATGTCTTACAAGATAGATCATTTCAGTCTGAATCAGTATTGCAAATGCAGCATTACCTAGATACTAAATTAGTCTGTTTTTATTACAAGCAAATAAATCTGCAATGCAAACATGCATACATGCACACTAATGTGTGTGCACACAAAAGCATGCACACACAAACACGTGCACACAAGCACACGCACACACACACACACGTGCACACAAACGCACGCACACACACAAACACACGCACACGCACATTTCCAAACATGATTCCTTACAAGAGATCTGTAGTTTTTTTTAACAAATAAATTATTCTCTCAATGGCAAAAACAGTTTTATAAACTAATTTAATTTTTGCTTATAGTTATAAAGAAAAAAAGAAGAAACTATTTGCAAAGTTCCTTGATAATCCTCAAAGACCACTTGAAAGAGCAGTTTTTTGGACAGAGTATGTCCTATCTCATTAAGGAGCACCACACTTTGGATTTCATTGTTTTCATTTAATATTATGTGAGGAATGTAAAAACTACAGGGAGATAAGCCTTCACAATATTGTGTACAAAGTTATATTAAGATATTAAGAAATTTTATAAAGATTTACATGATTCCCCAAAAAGTGTATTAGTTTTAGACAAAGGAAGCAATCATTAATGAATGTTCTTTGCTTTAATAATGAACAGAGGATATAATTTGGCTTCATTGCTTAAAGCAACTCAAAGATCTTGAAAATACTCTTAAAATCAATAGAATGATTCTGTGAGATGCATTCACGGTTTCAACTATAATTATGTAAAGATAGCTGACTTGATTTAAACAATTTTTCATTTACACTGAATATAAAATGAATTTTTATTTGTTGACTTAAAAATAATATTTATAATGAAAGCAGTTGTTTTTGTAGTGGCTTTTATTAGTACAGAAAATTAATAAAAATATGCATCATTTGTGGGGACACAAGCTACCCCTCCCTCTCTCCATAGTTGTGCCACTGCATATGTTCATTCATCTCAAAATTCTGTCTTAAGATCATGCATTTTGTACATTCTTATATCACGCTTATAGTCCTGTTGGCTAGTACTGAAAAAGTGGAGTTACTTGGAAAAAAGTCATCACATTTTTCTTTGAGTACATTTTTTTAATCAGACACTAGTTTACATCTCGAATTTTAGACCTCACAGACCCTGTACTAAATCCAGGAAGCCCCCAAAACCGTTATTTTTCTTCTTTTTTTCTATAATTTGATAACTTTAAGTTCAGTAGAAAAGTTATTCAATTAGTTTTAAAAAGGATAAAATTTACTTTTGAATAAAACATTTCTTTCAAAACCATTACCAAGCAAACTGAATAATAATATATATTTCATCTTGGTGTAATCATTGCCTCATAAATGAATTTGCCGTTGCCGAAAATCTTTATAAAGAAATAGATGGATGTGTGAGTGTGTGTTACAGCTCAACTCTTCAACGCAAGAACAAATTTATTTCAACAAAACTTGGTACATAAATTTACCCATTAGGGGAAAATAATATGTGAGGGTAAGACACCCCTAGAGGCGGGGATAGGAAGTGATATTTACAAACAAAATCATTACGCAAACCGCAATGCACGAACTACGAGTAATGTGCACTGGGCTACACTTATGAAGACGGAATCGGCCTTATTTTCATCGATTATTCTATCGCAAAAGTTTGTAATTTTTTAGACATTTTCGGAAACTATTGCGAGGAGGTCTGTGCCAATCCTTAGTCCCACTAGTTTGGACACGTACAACAGCCCTCCTTAGGATGTATGTCTTTTTGAAACAGAACCCTTAATCCCGTCGCTTTCAATCTTCTACGTCTCGGGATGAATAGTATGGGAAGTCTGCAAACGTACAGAAAAAAATGTTTCCCCTTTAGTTTACATAAATTTAAAAGGATTTCGATTTGTAACTTTGGGCGTTAGTTTTTCCGTTCTCCTGAAGGATGTCGTGAGCGATCATTAGAAGACAATAATACATTCCAATAAACTTATAATTAAGCAATGTTTTGTGAAACTCACATCTTCAATCGTACATGGAAAACAAAGACTGTCGTATTAGAAAAACAATAATTCATCCAATAAACTTATATTTAAGCATGTTTGTGAAACGCACATTTCAATTCGTACATGGAACAAAAGATCTTCGTATTAAAAGACCAAATAATTCATCAAAAACTTATAATTTAAGCAATGTTTTGTGAAACTCACATCTTCAATTCGTACATGGGAAACCAAAGTCTTCGTATTAGAAGACAAATAATTCATCAATAAACTTATAATTTAAGCAATGTTTGTGAAACGCACATCTTCAATTCGTACATGGGAAACCAAAAGATCTGTCGTATTAAAAGACCATAATTCATCCAATAAACTTATAATTAAGCAATGTTTTGTGAAACTCACATCTTCAATTCGTACATGGGAAACCAAAGATCTGTCGTATAGAAGACCAAATAATTCATCCAATAACTTATAATTTAAGCAATGTTTTTTGAAACGCACATCTTCAATACGTACATGGAAACCAAAAGATCTGTCGTATTAGAAGACAAATAATTATCCAATAAACTTATAATTTAAGCAATTTTTGTGAAACGCATGCTTCAATTCGTACATTGGGAACACCAAAAGATCTGTCGTATTAGAAGACCAAATAATTCTCCAATAAACTTATAATTTAAGCAATGTTTTTGTGAAACGCATCATCTTCATTCGTACATAGGGAAACCAAAAGATCTGTCGTATTAGAAGACCAAATAATTCATCAATAAACTTATAATTTAAGAAATGTTTTGTGAAACTCACATCTTCATTCGTACATGGGAAACCAAAAGATCTGTCGTATTAGAAGACCAAATAATTCATCAATAAACTTATAATTTAAGCATGTTTTTGTGAAACGCGCATCTTCAATTCGTACATGGGAAACCAAAAGATCTGTCGTATTAGAAACCAAATAATTCATCCAATAAACTTATAATTTAAGCAATGTTTTGTGAACTCACATCTTCAATTCGTACATGGGAAACCAAAAGATCTGTTGTATT